AAGAATACATGTCAAAAAGAAGATAAAACTGAGGATCTAAGAATAGAACCTTGGAAAATAGAACTTTAGAGCTCACAAATTCACTGTCTACATCTATTACAGTCTGTAGAAGTATCTTTGAAGTATTTAAAATAGACAAGGTGATTTTAAAAAAATTAGACAAGTCTAATAATATATATAAATATCAAATTGATGAAATGTCAAAAATTATAATTGACTCTAGTGACCAGATGTCAGAAGTTAATGAAGAAACTTTGATGAGATTAGAGATTGCAAAACTTCAACAAGAAGTTGAAATGATAAGAGCTAGCAAAAAGACACTTATTATCAATACTAGTGACAATGAAATGAGTGACGATCTTGCAAACTATCTACAGAAAAAAGACAGAACTACTGTCATAATGAAGATATTGACTAAATTTAAAGATTAAGTGAAGCACATCAAGAAATCTATTATTCTGACTGATTCTATGAACTATTCAATGTGAAGAGAAGAGATGATACTGGTTACTAAGTAATCTGAAATCAATGATATTCTCAATAAGAAGTAATTTGCCCTAGAGAATGATGCCAGTATGAATATATAATATTTTTAGACTGAAAGAAATATATGTCTCTATAATTGAATATTATCTTCAATCTCTCTGCAAGCAAGATCTCATTTTATAATACTCTCAGATCATCAGTTATCTGTGAAGGATAAATTGCTTGATTGATTATATAGCGATCGCTAGCTACGCGGAAGTTATATACAGTGCAGATTACATAAGAAGGCAGATAGGCCTGACACTCCCACTTACTGATGTAACTATACTTGAGATTATATACAAAAAGTAGCCTGTAGCTAAGTATCAGTACATAATTTGACTGGAAAACCCATATTGTTGAAAAATCAGTTATTTCCTCCATATAATCATTTTTGCCTGCTTACTGTATCTTCTAATATCTGCTGTCATAGAGTGTATCTAGTCATCTCAAGTGGCTTGGTCAGCCTGTCTGCTGCATTCTCAGCAAATGGAATATAATTAATTGAGATATTATTCTTGCAAACAAAATTCCAAAGAGTATGGAAGTAGACCTTTATATGCTTAAATCAACACAGAATAGCCTCACTTTTGGTCAGTTCAATCACTAATTTATTATCCACTCAAATTGTATATATCAGCTTATTGATTGATGATTTGATTGAGCTGTTATTATCATCAAGATTATTGAGCTGGGATAATATAAAGCTAGCATCCTTCAGTAATTTCCAAAGGCAGACAAGCTCATAAGCAGCCTCTGAGGATGCAATATATTCAGCCTCAGTAGATGATTTCAAAACATCTATCTGCTTGCTGCTTCACTAAGCAATAAGACTCTTTGCCATATAAATGATATATCTGATGATGGAGTAGGAACTCAGATCACAGCCCACCCAATCAGCATCAGTAAACATCACAGGTTCTATATCTGCATCTTTTTGGTAAAACACACCTATGTCAGGTGTGCCTTATAGATATCTAAGAATTCACTTGAATGCTGCTCAATTTTTTGAGATAAAGTGAAAGCTGAATCTCTCTAAGAAGCCAGTGGTGAAGCTTATATCAGAGTGTGTGTTGACAGTAAGATATTGCAGAGAGCCAACTCCTGATTGATAGAAATGTAATGTAAATTCTGCTGTATAAGCAATTGATTCTTTATTATCACTCATAAAATCAATATTCTCCTCTATAGGAGAGGATGTTGGGTGGTAGTCATCTATTGAGAATTCCTCAAGCAGATTCTTTATGAACAGTAACTGGAGCAGTGATAAAAATTCAATATTCTGATTAATCTTCATCCTCAAATACTGGTTTGATTCACTTACATTCTTGATCTTATAATTAGCAGTGATCTGGGCTTTTGTCTATTTAATATCTGATATATTTAGGCCATATAGGTGAACATCATCCATATAGATGATTATATAGACCTTGCAGATGTCATTTATGAAAAAATCAACATCATGAGAACTGATGTGGAAGTCTGTTTTCAATAGCATTTTTCACAGCTCCTTATATCATAATAGTGCTACTTGCTTCAGATCATATAGTTCCTGCATCAATTTGCATACCAGATCACTGCATCCCTTACAGAACCTGGTGAGTTGATGCATATATATATATTCATTAGTGGGAAGCTGGGCATTTAAGAATGCTGTAACCATGTCAATCTGCAGAACATGCTATTCTCAGAATACCAAGATTGTTATAAGTACTCAGAAGGTGGAGGCTGATACAACTAGTGTAAATATCTTTGAATAATTGATACTCTTTTTTTGATAATTGCTGCAGACTACTCAGTGAGTCTTATATCATTCAATTCTACCTGCATTATTAATCTTTTTGTTGAACACCTATTGACTATATAGAATCACTATATCTGAGGTCCTTTTAACTAGCTGCCATGCACTAATCTGCTTGAGATGATTAATCTCTTTAACATAGGTATGGAAGTAATATTTTCAATCTGCAGACGTCTGAGCCTAGGTGAGATTCTTTAGAACTGGCAAGCCAGTGATCCCAAAGTCTGCAGAGATGTCAGTTAAATTATCAGTGAAATCTCTCACTGAGACCTCCCTCACTGAAGTAATATTCTCAATGAGCATTGAAGAATCCTCTATCTCAAAAGCAGATCCTGGAAGGGCAGTAGTATTTTACATCAAAAATATCAGAATCCATATAGTTGTAAAGGGTTAAGCTCTAAGAACTAGAGGCTAGTCCTTCTATATAACAAGGACGAATTGCTTGAAAAAGGGAAGAAAAGAATGAGATGAGAACTCGAGCTTAAGCAAGCTCACATAGCATGATCATGTATACACATGCAAATGATGACTAGGCTGAGTCAGCCAGCCAGAGCAAATCTAGGGATTTAATCCCTTATAATACCCTCTTTCTCCCTCTTTGTTGCAGGTTTTTACAAATATTTAAAGCCCTCTTTACATCTAATTTTACCTGATGAGAGGCCTCTCAAGCATTCAAGGCCTTCACTTCTTATAGAAGACTTATGTCATTCCATGTAAGCTCAGCCCAACCTACCCATTTAATGAGATATTGCTTTTTCCTCTGGTAGGTTCATTCATTTTGAATTTTCTCAATCTTAAACTCAAGTTCTTCTGGAGTCTCTATAGTAGGTGGCTGCCAGTTGGTTTGCCTCTGACTAGGTAGAGAATCTGTCATCACAGCATGTAGAAGCTTTACATTAAAGACATTGTGAATATCAGGTGAAACATTCAGTCAGTAAGTATGGAATTCTATCTTTTCTAGCACAGTATATTGATTGTATTTCATGTCTAGCTTTTTGTACAGGTGATTAGTTCTCATATTCTCTAAGCTCAATCAGACCTTATCTCCAGATTAAAAGCTTGAAGCTGAGTCTTTTCATCAATTCACATATTTCTCTTGAGATTGCTAAGCATTCATCATTTTTACTTGAGCTCACTTTAACACTTTATGAGCTTTCCTCATATAATCATTTGCAAACTCAATGAAATTACATGATGTTTCAACAGGGGGTGCATCAGCTATATCAATAGAGGAGACATAGAAAAGGTGCATTAAAAAGAATAAGCTCATACCTGTTGAGGCAGCATCTCTATTATTGATGGTCAGCTCTGCTAGAGGGAGTCATTCACACCAGTCATCCTGTTGAAAGCTAATGTACTTGCGTAGGTAGATTTTCAGAGTCTGATTCATTCACTCTGTAACTCTGTCAGCCTCTAGATGATAGACCATGGAAAGTCATCTCTTAATGCCTAATTTCTCACACACCTGAGTTCAAAACATGCTTGTGAAAGCTGACTTTTGATCTGATACTACTGCTTTAGAAATGCCACGTTGAGGGATGATATTGCAAAGAAACACTCTAGCCACTGTCTCTGTATCAGTTTTCTTAACTGCTTTTAATATAACCCCCTTGATCAGTCTGTTCATTATAATTATGATGTTCATGTATCCTTTAGAGCTCAGTAAGTCCATGATAAAGTTCATGGAAAGCTCCTGCTATATGCATTCAGGAATGAGAAGAGGCTTAAGCAGTTCCTGACATTGATCTCTTCATGTGGTGTTTGATCTGCAAAAATGGCAGTTTCTGATCATTCTTCTCACATCAGTGGCATAGCCTGGTCAGTAGAACTCATGTCTTAGAACTTCTGCTGTTTGCTCTCACCCAGGATGACTGATAAGAGATGAGTCATGAGCCTCATGCACTAATCTGGTTTGAAGAGGTTTGAAGTCTGGCACCCACTTACAATCTTGAAAGAGAAGCTCCTTGTTCTCATTTAAAGAGCACTCAAAGACAGAGGCCTTAATGCTGAGTTCAGAAGAAAATCTGAATCTTCTCTCACAAAGAATTTGCTTCAGACACTACAAGATCTTGTCATTTTTGTGAGCCTCATTTCACTGAGCTTGAAGAGACATCTCAGGTTTCATGCTGACAGCAGTCACTATTAGTTCCATTTCAGGTGCCAGTATGTTAAACTTAAGTAGTTGAGCTTGTCTCTGCTTGATTCTCTCATCATCAGTGCTCTGTGACATGTTCTGCTCTCTTCACAATAGAGTGTCTGGTCCAGTGTTCAACTTCCCTGGCTGGTAATCAATTCTGAAGTTGAATTGATAGAGAATATTCATCCAACATAGCTGTCTTTCATTTAGTCTGTGTGTAGTTATGAAGTATTCTAGATTCTTATGATCTGTGAGAATCTTGAATTCCTTTACACTTTGTAGGTCAGTATTTCATTTCTTTAAACACTCAATTATCACTAATAACTTCTTATCATGAATCTTATAGTTCCATTCCGCAGGTGAATGCTTGTGAGAGAAGAAGGCACATGAGTGTAGAATGCTCTGCTCATCATATTGTAGCAGCATTCTTTCTGAGATATAATCTGAAGAGTCTGTTTCCAATATAGTCTCATGGTCAAAGTCAAATTGAAGCAGGATTAGAGCAGAGATAAACATTGATTTTAGATACTTAAAAGCTTCCTCAGCCTTGCTTGTCTACAAAAAAGAAACATTCTTGCATGTAAGAATCATCAGTGGGGTTGCAATCTTTGAGAAATTTCTGATAAATCATCTATAGAAATTGGCAAAGTCTAAAAATCCTTATACATCTTTAAGAGTAGTAGGTGTCACTCATTCCAAAATAGCTTTAACCTTCTCCAGATCCATTCATATACTCTTGCCTGCTTCAATGATAAATTCAAGATATTTTGTGCTGTTTATCTCAAACTCACTCTTTCTGATGTCTGCCTGCAGGCCTGCTTCTCATAGACACATAAGCATCTTTTGTACATACTCATGATGCTCCTGTAAGCTTCTTAAGGAAAATATCAAGATGTCATCTAAATAGGCTGAGCAAAAGTCATCTAAATATCCACATAATGCTCAGTTGATATATTTTTAAAATATGC